ATTTAAGACCTCTGAGGTGAGGGCACTTACTAGACATTAGTCCTAAACTGGCATTACAAAGATCAGCAATTGACTAAAACAAGAAACCGCATTTAAAGTGAGGCTGGCCACTAGAGCTATGTGCAACTGAGGAGAGGAGAAGAAGAAGCGAGTAAAAGTTTGAATAACAGTATGGGTATTTAGATCTTGATTTTACCCCAAATCCTCCTTAAAATAAGGTATGATTTAATAGCAACTTTTGTTTTGATCCTCATGTTTATAATCTCTAAGTTCTATGCAGGTCAGCTGAATGAGCAGTAACAACCTTTTTTGTCCATCATGGTTCCTTCTCTGTCATACTGCCCAGTTAACTTCTGTATTTTTTCCCCAATTACTGACAAATACATTTGACTACATTTAACCATTACATCTCTCACTGATTCCTCACCAACTTGTTATTTATTTGAAGCAAGCACTATACCTCTGAGCAGACATATATACATGTGGGTTTTTTCTACTTTATGGTTGGACTCAATGATCTTAAGGGTCTTTGCCAAACTAATTGTTTCTACAATAATATACATTAAAATACTTGAGGAAACCAATAAGGATTGGTTAGACAACCTAGTAGAAGCACATGTTTTCCCCTATGAAATATGTGAAATGAAAAAAAAAAAGTTTAAGAAGTGAAACAAAAGGAACCAAAATAAGACAGAATTGCTACTTTGGAAATCCCTAACTACTGACAATTTCAAAGGCCCATCAGCACTCTGTGAATACTGTGACGGTGAGCATGGGAAAAGGCAGTACATTTTCCCAGAATAAAGTTTTATTCATATTGATCCTGTGTAAACTCACTCACTTCCTCCTTCAGGAAATGACCTGAAATGACAAGCCACAAACACCTATTCTTATCTTAAAATGTAAATTGTTACCAAAAGGCAGAATGTCCCACTGAGAAGCAGACCTGGGGCCTTGGACATAGACATCCTTGTCCTTAAGACCTCCTGTGGTGGTGTGCACGTGGATCTGTTCTCCTCCAGTGGAAAAAAATCTTGATGGCTAATTAAGAATGCATAAATAGTATCTGTGGGAGAGATACATTTTGGAAGTAGTAATTGGCATGCTGTCAAGCTTTGATTTGCAGTTATATTGCATGACAGACATACGGCTGGAAAGAAGAAAACATTCACCGCCTCAGCCTACTGTAGTGTCTTCTTAAATAGCTTAGATGAGTGGCAATGGAAATAAAGTGATTATTCCAATTATTAAAGGCTCACAGGAATACATTGAGCCATGAGAAATCCACCTGCATTTAATAAACTGCTTGAAATTAGAACTGCAAAAAACAGCAAGAGAGTCAATAGTTCTATGAAGTTTAGGTGACCTAACTGCAGCAGCACAGGGCAGCAGCATGTACCAAGCAAATCGGGACACGTTCCTCTTCCCAGTCTGTGCCGACAAACACCAATTAAGAACTCTAAAGGACTCCTACTAGACTTGAAAACAACAAGAATGACACTGAAATTGACCTTGAATATCATTTATCTACTGTTTAGATTTACTGAAACATGCTGCCCTTTGCTTCTATCCTCTGGCATTTGTCCATTACAGTGGTGTGCCAAAGGTGAATTGTTTCATTAAGATCTGAAACAAAAGGGACCAATGCTCTGAGTTACAAAAATTAGTCTTTTTGAAAGATACTATAATGTAAATAGAGAACACCATGATTCAGTGCCTGCACTTAATTCCATTAAGCATTCATACTCCCAGTGCATTTCAAATTCACCTACAGGCACATTTTCAGAGAAACTTGAGTAATATTTTCTTTATGAGATAAAATTACGGATAGATTTGATTTCTTGGTTTTCCACAAAATTGTACAATTTCAGCTGCTTCATGAGTGGAACTAGAGAGATCTCGTTTAAGTTAAGTCTTTGGGGGTTTGGGAATTTTTTAGAATTTAGTACGCTCTGCATAAATCTAAAACAGTCTCTTCAGAAAATCCCCTGGCACATTTTTAATGATCTGGGTGAAAAAAGCCTTTGAAATCTCATCATTTCATCACAGAGTAACATCTCTATAACCTGAAATACCAATGATATACTGTTTAATGAAAACGTACAGCATTAATTATATGACAGTCCATTCTCATGAACAAATTCTTATATATCTCAGAAAATAATTAAAACCAGCACTGATAAAAACATTAAGTATTTAAATTACAATAGCCATATCCATACAGTCACAGTGAGGTTGCTCAAATTGCCAAGATGTGACCAAAGACGAAGGTTTTAGAAGTGAAAATACACAGAACAAGAAGTTCTGTAGCATAGGCCAAATACAAATAGTACACCTTGCATAGCCTCATTTAGTAGTTTACATCTAAAAATGCTAGCATATTCTATGCAATCATTTAAGGGATATTTCTGATATATAATACACAATTAACTATAATTAATATTATATAATATATAATACTAACTACTATAATCAGAGAAGGCTTACATTACCAGGACCGGAATTTAAATGACAGTAGCTACACATAAATTTTCTTTTTCTCAACTCACTGCAAATTCATGAGCAAGACAGTATAATAACACTTTTTTGTGAATTGTCCTACTCTCTTACTAGGCAACATATATTGCAAAAAATAGGTAGAATTATTTTGTAGATTATTAGCACTGTTATAATTAGTGCTACAAGATGAGGCTTTGCTGTTTGTTCTCAGACTGTTCACAGAAGCAAAATCCAGACCAAAGTATTTCATCCAGATCCTGTTCTCCTCCTCCATTATCATATATCTTCACTTTCAAAATAATTTTCAGTGCCTACAATTTACTGAACTTTGACCAACAGACTAAAGATTATTTATGCTTAAAACCCCCCACAAACAGCTGCTGGAATTATATGGTCCTCAACTTGAAAAAGGAGCTGCTTGAACTTCAGAAGTGATCTTGAGATTGCAAAACCCCAGTAAAAGTGGAATGTGTAAATTCCCAGATTTATATCTTATTTTAAGTACACGACAGGTATACTATGCACCTTTGTGACCCAAACACTCTTTACTATGTGGAATTGTCTCTACCAATTTGAATCGAAGAATGCTTGCAAAAATCACCAAACCTACCAGTGGAATTACACTCATACAACTATTTGTACATCCATTACACCTCTAGTTATCTCAGTGTTTCCAGTTCTTCCTTCTCTAGAAGGTCATTGTTCAAAACGAACCAATTTTTAATTATTTAAATCAAATTACATTTGTGCTTTTGCAAAATGTGATTCTACAGGTACCACAACAAAGCTATTACCTCACATGATTACCATAACTGAACCATGATCCTTATCCATTGGCTTAATAGTGGCAATTAATAGCTAATTTTATATCCCACATCTCTTACCTTACAAATAAGTAAGGAAAATCCATTAAGGTAATGTAATTATACAGGTTGGAACATAACAAGGAAGCAATGTTAGTTCTTTTATGTTTGACCCTGCAGTAATGTACCTTGGGAGTTTGCATGCTTGCAGCTATTTAGGACCACATCTTCTTTATGGCAATAAACATCCTGAATAACGCTATGTAAGCTTGTCAATGAGGGGCTGAGATGAACCTTAACAGCTCTAAATGTTATCACTCAATACGATAAAATGTTGTACAGATAAATCCAGCTATTTCAGAGTTTACTTTAAAAGAATTACTTGCCACTTCATTTTTTTGACTTCCTAATGTTTATTACCATTTTACAGTCTGAAGTTGAAGGGACAGACAAAACAGCTTCTGCTTTCCTAGCAGAAGAGGAATTTAAACATGAGAAAATTATTATGCTGTTAAAGTTGTTGCAAAGACACTCAAGATAAGAATGGAAAAGCTGAGAGATGACCTAAGAGCCTAGAAATAGTCATACGTTAATTTTCAAGATTTTTCTTCTCATTCAGAAAATGTTATACCTCTGGCTACATTATGCTTGGAGTCATAAGGACTGTAAGTTGCTCCAAAATAAATGTTGAATAGAAAGAACTGGCATTTCAAATGTTGTATGAGATGTGTCACCATCAGAAGCAACTGGGCTATACTCATTTTCACCATCTCTGGGTTTAGTAAGATACATTTAGAAAGAACACTTTCTTTCTTATTTCTTGTAAGAATGCTTAGAAACACATCAATCATGTTTAACATGTCCATGTATAATAAATGTGCATAAACTCATGAGCTCACATTCATTAATTACATTAATTTTTACTCCTGAAAACGAGGTTGTAAAACATGGTTTTCCACTATCACCAACGACAGCTTACTTGCAACAGCTCGTTAATGAAATTTTCTTCTGTCAAAGTGCAAAAGTAATCAAGGTACAAGCCAGTGATGTTCAGAAATATCATTAGAAAGTTATAAAAATTTGCATGTAAATGAGTATCTTCAGGATCTTGCTACTTTTTCAATAATAAATAAATAAATAAACATCTAGCCATATATCAATCTGCACAAAACATGTTTCTGAAAGCCATATAAACACTGATGAATGACAGTTTGGCTACTTAGAACTAGAACAATCAGGGGAGACAAAAGTACTCATTGATTCATCAGTCTTTACAACTACAGAGGTGAAAACTACAGCTGAGTACGAAGCATTTAATATAAATTGTTCACAATCACAATAAAAACTAACTGAATAACGTAGCGCAGGGATTTTTCAAAAATGAAACTTCATCGCAGATGTTAATCCACTAAAAAGATAACAGAGTCCAGGCCATGACCTATGGCCATCAAAACCCTGCGTAGTAGTGCTCTCTAGATCATAAGAAAAACAGCACTTTGTTCAAGAGTATTAGATTAATTTTTTGTAAAAAGAAATTAATTTTAAAAATCGCTCTTCTGCAGAAATGTTAGTTCATATCCAGTGGGAAAGGAAGAGAGGAAGAAAAAAAGTTAACATAAAAGAAATATATGACCATGCACAACACTGAAAACGTTTGAAAACACACATACATGTTTACAGAGACATGTGACACTGTACCTGGTGATGTGGGGAATTGCCTTCACACGGTGGTACGATTACACAGACTGTAATCAAGAATGCAACACATGACAATGGAAGGATGGAAGGAAGAAGAAAGAAAAAAAAAAGAAGAAAAAGTATTAAAACATATATAACAAAAATGAATGACTAGAACCTTCACGGACATACCAAAGAAGACCTATAAACCAAACTAATATTCTTTGCAGACTTAACTCTGACATTTGGTTACTTTACACTTGTAACTGCAGTAAAGACTCTGGACATAACATTTCAGTTGATATTACCTTCCATTATTAGAGTATTACAGTCTGTGGACTGTCATCAGAGTGCAATTGGGTTTTTGTTGTTGAGTATCTCGACCTTACACTTACATTAGTTTATGAACACATAGAGTGAGGTGTTCAACACTTCTGCAATCACTCGAGAAAAAGCTTGGTTAAATCAATATGAGAAGAGCCATTTAAAATTTATCTTAAAATTCAAAAAAAGGATAGATGTTTTTATATATATATAAATATATATATTAGAAACACCTCCACTAAAACTTCACCCCCAAATATATCTTCCGTTTAACAGCATCAGTCCCACTACTTTGTGAGGAAGAAACAAATGGAGAGATAAGAGAAGCACAGATCACGCCAAGCTCTGACTCTCGGGTTCAGTGTGGTACCTGAGGGGAGCTAAACACGAGTGGTGTGATCCATCTGCTTTCAGAAAGCCCAGTCCAGGTGTGATTTGGCTTTAGGTGAGTTTGGTTCCCCATAATGTTATTCTTCAGCCGAAATACCACTTAGGAGGTTCCTGTTGTTTCTTTCTTGTTCTTCCTTCACTGCTGTGCTTAGGCTCCCTCCCCCTAGAAAAGGCCGTAGTGTAACTGAAGGGAAGGGATCTGCTGTGGTTCAGGGAGCAGGGATGGGAGGCAGCAAAGGGAAGAGACCTCATTAACCACTGTTGGCCACAAATCAAGGGCAAAGTTAAGCAGTAGCAAGACCGTTTCACAGCTCCCATAGTCAGCCTTTCAAGAGATACGCAGCCAGAAAAATAAGACTGCATATAACCTCGAATTACAGTAAACCATCATTTTTAATCTGTCATTTATATATAGTGTTTTAATTACCTCTGTTACACTAAAATTGAATTTACAAATTTTCAGATACTTTGGTCCACTTAAGGAGTAGATTCAATTGCCAAGATGTAATCACTGATGAAAGGCATTAATAGAAAGACATATAAAAGGAATTACACTATAAGGATCTGCTGTTGCTACTTATTGTAATTTTTTTGTTGTTCTTCTTTCTTTAAGGGTACAGATTACTGACTGTAGAGGGAGGAAAGGGTTGCATATTTAACTGCAGTGACCTCTTATGTATAGACAGTGCTCAATATGAAAGAAGCTAAGGGACTGCTTTTCTAGATTCACAATTAGAAATACAACCATAAGGACTGGGCTCCTATTATGCTGGGGTTTTTTTAGTTAGAATACAGGTTCATGAGAAAATAAAGATGTTAATATTACTTGGATTGCTGAATCTTCAAATCTCTGGAATAATCTCTCATTCTGAATATCAATTTCTTAGAGAGGAAAATACTAGCCTAAATATAATAAAAAAAAATGCTACTACATTTGCAAAAAAAAAAAATATTTGTTGAATTGGTACTCCTTTGTTTACCAATATTATCTGTATGTCCTCTGTTAATATCACATTATTGTATGTGTATACTATATAGGTTTTATATATTGTATATTTTGTATACACACAGATCATGCTCATTTTCTGAACACTATCTAACTATGAAAATTTGGAAATAAATGTTAAATTTAGGACATTAGTCCTTTAATATGAGAAGCAAACAAGCAATAAATTAATTATAAAATTTACACAATTTTATGCATTAAGAACTGAGTTTGTATCTGCCTTATGTGCTATGTAGGGGTTTTGGTTCATGTATTTTACTAGTGTAATTTGAAAAGCAGGACAAATGAATAAAACTGAGAAACCAAATACAACTAAAGCAACCACGTAACGATGAAAAATATAATCCATTTCTCCTGTTACTCAGCTGATTTATCTGAAAAATCATTACTATTTTCAAATTAATTTAAATTACTTTCTAAATCAGCAATAATTAGATCATAGACTGAAATTCCATGTTTCAAAGCAAAATTGCTACATATAATACAGCCAACTGATGGTTCAAAGTGAAATGTGGAATCACTGCAAGTTGATAATTTTATGCTATCACTCTCCTTGCTGCACCATCACAGCTTTCAATTACCAAGAAAATAAATCTAAAAATAAAACACAGAGCTAAAACCTAGATTCTCACAAAAACTTATGTTCTAAAGTCACATATAAATCAAAGAAGTGAAACCCATTGTAATAGCATACGAAGTGTCAAGGCACCAGGATGAAACAGCAGTTCAATCTACTGATGCAGGCAGCAAAACTACTGTGATATCTTCCTAATATTTTCATTAAAACTGGGAAGCTTGGCAGTAGTTTCAAATAGAGATTCTGCTAAAATTTTCATGGTAGGTCAGTAAAGCCATGATTAACTGATAGAAGTTAAATGCCTTCTACTACTAATTGGATATCACTAAGGACTGAATGAAAACCCTAAACAAATGGTGTTTAACCAAGTCACCTATAACTGAAACTAAAAATTATTTTCAAGAACTCTGTTGAGGACTGATAAGGGATGATCTCATGAGTAAAAATAATCCCAAATGCAAACCAACAGAAAAATCAAGATTCAAATTCAGCAAATGGCTGTGTTCAAGTGGTCCTGCTGAAGCCACCCAAAGCTCTGTCACAGTTTGCTTGGCTACCTGAACAGATGGGCTTCAACGTGGACTGACAGAGCAACCCGAGGCAAACCCACTGTCATTAAAATACACATCACATTCCTAGGCTTTGGTTTCCACCTTAGATTTTATTATCACTTCAATAAAAATATGAGACCAGAGAATAATTTAGAGGTGTCCCTGAACCCCCCTACTCTTCCATCCTTTGTATGGGGACCTACATCATATTCCCACATGGATATATCAATACTCTAGAGGGGCTGGCACATCTTTTTACCTGCTGTTGAAATTCACTCATAGAGAAATTGTGCTACTTATTCATTCATTTTGGTAGTCTAGAGGAAGTCCTGGAAGGCATTTTTTCCTCTTTTCCCACAGTCCTACAGAGTCTGTTCTCACTGCTGATGTGGACATTGTTAGCAGCTGTAAGATTTAAAAGGCAAACACCAACATGAAAAGGTACAAATCCCTAAAAAAAAAAAAAAAAAAAAAAAAAAAAAAGCAGAGGATCAGGGGAGTGCCATCCAGCAGCAGGATCAGCTGCTCCAGGGAGCAACTGAAGGGGACTCTTCCTCACCTGACTGGCTCAAAGGGACTGAAAACAACATGAGATCAATTTCTCTGAGGATTTTTTTGTCTGACACCATTTCAGCTCTGTCAGTCAGCAATGTTCTGTGTTCAGTGCATCAAGTAGCAATTTCTTTCATTAATTTCTGCTGAGTAAATTCTGTTCTACATGTCACTTCCCATTCCTTTGCACTGATTCCTACCCGTTTGCCTATGAATTAATTCAGAATCCTTGTTAACTACTGCCCTACACCATAAACTACTTTTCCCAGATGAAATCATAAGTGGTTGCCTCAAAAAGATATGTCTTGTTTCCTGTTTTAGAAAGTCAATTTGTTCTTTTCCCGATGTTTTCATGCATTTTCTTTCATTAATATCATCAGTAATACATTTCTTGGTATGTCTTAATTTGAACAGTTCACAATTGTCTTGGCTACATCTCTTTACTGGGGAAGAAAAATGTTTTTCTCTAGAAATGTCCAATAACCACTTGGAAACCTTCCATAAGAATCATTGCAAGATGAATGTTTATAAATACTTCTTTGATATAAATAGATTTCCTGACACTTTATAACAAACCTCCAAATTAAAGATATAGCCCTAAATAAATATCTTAACATTTTGTAAAACAATTCATATTATCTCTCCAATGGAGCATGGATAGTAAGTCTTTTGGCATGAAAGAAAGTAGTTACAATTAATTATTGCTATGATGGTTAACCAGCATGCAAGTACTGAGCATTTAATCTTTTGTCAACAAATTTTATATGGCACTGTAAAAGCGAGACATTTATAGGAAGGCTGGAAAAAGACTCATATTAGTAAATGTTCATGAGGGTTAACTCCACAGATAGTGACAGCACAGAAACTGGAGGTTAAAGAAAAGGATTTGTGAGTTTGGCCTCGCTGAAAGTTTTGAATGCTTGGGGAAAGTGACAGGACGCAATTTAATGGGCAGGCTCACAAGGATTTGTTTTCAACCTTGAGACTGAGAATGAGACTTTTACATTTAATTCTCAAAGCAAGGGATCAAACTGTGTGGCGAAATAACTCCTCATATATATCATGCTTGAGTACCTTACTTCACAAGTGGGCATACTGATTTTAATTAATCAATCCATTTATTTCCAGTAATTTTGCTGACTGGAAAAAACCTCCTTTCTAAACTCACTAAGTTCCTCTTTTAATTTGCCTTTTGACGTAAAAATAGGAGTGCTTTGGGCATTAGAGATTCATGCACAAGATACCCTTTAGCTCTACACAGTCACGTCCTCAGTAAAACACAACAGCAATCCAACTGTCCTGTAAAACTAGAGTTGGGTGCCAGGTACCTTCAAGAAATGGCAAGAGAAGCAGGCAAACACTGCGCTTTATGCACTATTTTGGCAAGCACCTGCATCTAGCATCTTCTACGAGCCCCTGTTTGAAGCCACAGAGTCTGCTGACATTGCTGTATTAAAACCATATCTGAAAAGTAGAGTTTGCTTAGCTGCTTTATCAGGATAGTGATTAACATTACTCTGAAGTTGTTCTGGGCAAAGAATGAACTTCCCTTCATTTCCTCTTGAAACCTCAAGGCTGCTACTTAAATTCATTGGTACACTGCAGCAGCTATTCAAGAGGATGAATTAGTTTTGCACAGACTTTTATAGAGATTTCATTTCATCAGAA